GCCTCGTTGGGATAATGAAGTGTTAAAAAATTTTATCAGCTTTTAGACTTACTTTTTTTCAGCGGAAAGAGGGGAGGGGGAGGGAGCAAAAGGAAGTTGTGGAGTGCACTGACGTCACTTTTTTCCAATTTGTTTTCTTCAGAGCATGATTTGAGGCGCGCATGCGCAAACATACACACTGATGTTTAGTATCGGTTCTGTCTTTCGTGCACTTTAAGTTCATTCTGTTTTCATTCCCTGCCTCTCTGAATGGGCCCGGGAGGTAGGGGAAGAGGGGGTGGGGGGAAGAGATGGATGAAGGTAGAGTAAGAAAAAATAAACAATTTGATGAGTAGTAGTAGTAGATTAGTGGATTGCTGCCAATCACAGATGTAATTTAGGACTCCGAAAAATGCAATGGTATGTATACGGTGATGGGACGCAGTGACTCCATGGATTCAGAAGGCATCTGGAGCAATCCGACAGCGAATGGCAACGATTCGTCTGTATTCATGGACGATTATCTGCGAATGTTGGGCGCTTGGGAAGACGAGAACTGCAATCCGCTTACCAACTGCAATCTCACGCAGGCGGAGATTATGAACATGTTCAATCTGCCCGCATATCATCTCAACAGTGAGGTGGCTTCTCAGGCATAAGCTTTGAGTGTTGGCGCCCTGCGCTCGTTACTTTGGGAATTCCACATTCTCGGAATGATGAATTCCCAAAGTCACGAGCTCGCGAATTCATCATCTTTGGTTCCGATCAAGTCTTTTCTTTTTTCTTTTTCTTCAGCAGCAGTTCATGAATTTGTGGGGCCAACCCCAAAGCACTAGGAGCTCATCGCATTGTTCCGTCAGAGTAAACACCGTCCAGAGTACAATTTTTTTTTTTTTTTTCCGAACTAGTAATAAATGTAAGTCATCCCAAGAACAGTCATTATCGCCTCGTTACATTGTTCCCCTGTCATTACAGCTATGCTGTTGTACATAGGTCTGCAGGTTCATGCGATCTCATCTCGGGATGGATGGGAGTGACGGCGTGTTGGCGAAGTACGTTTTGATAATGGGGGGTTGGGTGGGTTTTCTCGCTGCTTTTGCTCTTACTCCCGTTCCCGCCCCTCTCCTGCATGGCACATCATCCATGTATGTACATGTGTATACACACCGAAGCTTCGACTTTGCATTATTGCTCTGTGTCCTTCCTCTCGGTACATCCGCGTTGTACTGTCCGATAAAGTGTGCTGCTATGTTATTGCATCTCAGTGATTTTTGTTTCATTTTGTTCTTTTGGTCTTTTCGTTTATGTTTTCTTTTCGCCTCTTCACAACTCAGTTGGGTTCGTTCCTCATCAGGCCTATTCATAAAGTCTTTGTGGTAAAAAGACGGGGACCAAAGGATGACGCACTCGCTGACACTCATCTGTGCCATTCTTGAATAGCTGCTGCTCCTGCTTGATTGATTAATGTTGCATCTCACGCTGAGTGTTTCTTTCCTGCGCTTCTTGATAATCAGCTAGACGTGGCATCAAACCGCAAGCCTTTCCTTTTCCGGTTAGAGAATTGAGGTCAGTGAATGCTCCGGCAAGATCGAGTTGGTCGGTTACTAAATTTCGATGAGAGGCCACGTCGAATTGTTCCTGAGTTGCGCCCCATCCTGTCAGTTAATGCGGAAATTCAGGGTGTACGCAGTAAGCCTTACAAATTGCGTCTTTCCATGTAGTTTGGCTGCAACATAATTGTTGAGCAGATCAGTTTTGGACATGTGTGCTTTGTCCTTTTTTCGCTTCCAGCGTCTCATTTTTGCGCTTTAATCACTTCAGGATTCAACTTCTCCTCTGCTCCCCGTCCGTTTTCCCTTCTGATTATCTCAGTGATGGCAGTGATATGTCTTCGCGCAGTTCTGGTTCTAGTGTTGGTTGTCATCATTGTTTTTGATCGATACTGTGGTGAATTTGTCTCATTCCCCTCCATGTTCCCTCCTAGTCTTTCTCTCGAAATCATTTCCCGCCTATGATGCAGCTTTATTATCATGCATTCGTTTTGTTATCAGTGTCCTCGTTATCATTGATGCGTCTCTGCCAGCGCCACTGTTTTCCATTGGTCCTCAACTTCGGGTACGGCAGTCGCAATATTTTTATGGAAATTCCATTGCTTGGATCGTACTGCGCAGTATCTCGGTCTCTGCCGGAGGTACCTGGGATTTTTTTTCCTTTGGGAATGCGTGTAATCTTTTCCAAAATTGTCTCAAAGAATTGCGAGGTGTTGTTCGAAATTTTCAGCAAGATTTTGAGTTAGAATGATTATCAAAAAAAGTTGCCCAAACCGATATATTTAGTGGTGCTCTTGCTTGGTTCGAATCCGTCTACGCCGCTAGTCTGTGGGTGTGAGGCGTGAATTCCCGCCGGTGCATGTGATAAGTGAGTGATAAGCGATTTTAATTTGATCCTTGCCTTCCTAGATGCTGTGATACGCGGGATGTCCGCTGGACTTTTTGATCCTTTTGTATAGCCTGCGGGGGAAAATTCTGAGGATTGTCGTGCTGTAGTGGGGCAGTGGCAGCAGTGCCTGGCTTTGCTTGTTTCCATGTATGTATGCAGATGTGGTCACTTGGTTGGAGTGTCTGCTTTTTTGTTGTGCCCAGATATTATCTGTGTTTGTTTGTGTGTGTGTGTGTATTTATGTATGTTTGTGTGTATGTGAACGTGGCAACTGTGCCACCGGCTATGTGCATCCTTATTTTGACCACATTTATTGTTCCAGAGTTTGCATTTCTCAGTGTTTGGTGTGTATGATGCAATGTCGTTTTGCAGCGGTTCTCTCACCCTTTCGGGCCTGGAAATTGAAGGCTCGGCAGGGTTTGCGTGCTTGTGTTTTGTTGTGCCAAATGCGGGTCATTCTCCCTTTACTGCGTGCTTTTTCATCTTATCACTTTTGTGGGGCTTTTGAAATTTTTGAAAAGCTACTAAGACCTTGCGGGATTTCGCAGAAGTAAGTTGATTTTGCGTGATTGAACATGATCTGTGTTATCATCGAAGCGATTTGCTTCGCGTACAACTGTTATAAGTCATTTGCAAAGAGGATTGAGGGGCCCGTCCCAGCCATCCCATCCATTTATCCGATCCGAATTTGTCCAGCAAGCCTGCATATCTGTGAATAGTTGTTTCAGTTGTGATTGAACGGGGAAGAACGTTTACGGCCTTCAATTGTAATCTTCTCAGTGCTTCTTCCTACATCATTCTCGTCGTTGTTTGCCGTATTCAGTAAAATGGGTTCGTTCAGTCAACAAGTCTCTTCCATCGTTATTTCAGTTAATGTCATATTTCCTCTTCTCTTTCTCAATGTGCTCCTCGATTTTTTCTCTCCCTCGCTGTATATATGGAGGTGTGTACATTCTTCAACTCGAAGCTACTCCTCATTTCCATGTTGATTGTGTTTAATTCTAGCGGACGATGTGGTCTGACTTCTGAGAGTGACCTCTTGTTTTCTGAAACATTTATTAGAATCTATATCCGTATTTTTTGCTTTTTTTTTTTTCGCAGGATTTCCTTTTTTAGATATTAGTAATTAATTGATTGGTTCGTTTGCCATAT